CTCCCGACGTCGATGCGGGGCTGCTTCGGAGAAGGCGTCTTGTCAAAGTCGATAACGACCCCGCTGCCAGCCATCAGCTTGCGCTTCCAGACGCCAGGCTCCGCCTTCACCACGGCGCTCGCGGGGGCGGTTGGGGTCGCCTCGCAAGGTGCGCCCAAGAGGAGGGGCGCCCCTGCTCCTCAGGCCCGCGCGCCAGGAAGCGGCCGTGTCGGGGTGCAGTTGGGCCAGCCACTCCTCCTGTGAGATTGCACCCGCGACCATGGATTCTCATTTTGGTCAGCTATATTAATGTTGGTTTTCAGTTTGCAGACACGTTCATTTCAAATCCTTGTGCGATTTTCGCACTGATGCCAACGATATATGGAATTACTGCCATGACAATCTTTGAACGCTGGATTCAATCATTGCTCTCGTGGCGCATGCGCTCATTGATGCGGTACCGATAAAGGTCCTGGTAACGCCATGAATGTCGCTACGGCTGTTGCTTTGGTTGTGGTTGCGACGTTCGATACTGCGAGGCACGTGTTTGTGGCTACACGTCCAGATGTTGACATTCACGTTTTTTGCAGTCGCTGTCGTTGTGTACGCGGTTGTAGTTATAGTGACCGTCATGAAGGTGATTCCGTCCATTGTGTTTGTTTTGGTGTGAGTACTCAATCTGGCTCTCGTTATGAGCATAGCTGTAATTATGGTGAATATTGGTTGTGTTTTTTGTTATGGCTATGGTTGTGATTATGGTTGTGTCGCATGGTTCTGTTATACATAAAGCTGTTTGTGTCCGTTGTGCTGGTGAACCTATCGCTATTGATGTAGATTTGTTTCTGGGCATGGTCGCGGGTTGCAAACACAGGGTCCTGCTTCTGAGTCGGGTGCGCGGCCAGCTTGCGCAGCACCGCTCCGCGTCGGTGGCCGGTCGTCGCTCCCGTGGCGGTGGAGTCTTGGCAGAGAACGCAGAAGCCAGGTTTGTTCAGGATAGACGGCTTGCCCGTGGATCCCCAAGTGCACGCTTTGTTATCACAGTGAAGCACCATGGCTGGTCTGCGCTGACGGCGGTGGTCGTAGTGGGTGGCGCGCCACGTAAAGCTTGTAACCAAAAACGGCTATAGGAGGACCCTGCCAAAAGAAGAAACATCGGCAAAGTAAGAATCCAAACGAACACAATTAAGTACATGATGAAAGGATGTGCGCGGAGCGTGAAGCTCGTCCTCCGTCTCCCATCATCATCTTTATCATGATCGTCATCATGCTCATCATCTTCATCGTCGCCATTGTCGTCGGCATCGTCATTGCGATTACGTTCGCACGCGTACTCGTACTCGTACTTGTCCTCGTCATCATCATCATCACCATCATCATCATCATCATCATCATCATCATCATCATCATCATCATCATCATCATCATCATCATCATCATCATCATTGTCATCATCATGAGCATTGTCGTCGTCGTTTCTCCGTCTACCTCCGCCCCTCCTCCTCCTCCCGCTCACTTTCTTTTTTCCACATCCGAATCCTTTCGCCCTCAGCGTCCTCCTCCCAATGGGGTGGAGGCATGAGGGCCCTGCCACCGAGGCCTTCGGTGAAGCTCCATATGGAGCAACTTACTGTTGAGAGGAGCGGCACGCAACGTCTCCCATTGGGGCCCACGGTAGAACTCACAACGAAGACATGATGATGGAGGAGCGTGAAGATAAGAATGAAGAAAACAAGCATTTATGATCGTTCAAACGGAATGCTGGGGGGGAGGGGATGTGGGTGGAGGCAGGGTTATGACGGAGAGAAGGGAAAAGCGCATCATGAGAGGGAGCAGGAGGAAGATGAGCAGGAAGAGGAAGAGAAAGATGATCGTTGGGGGGCGCTGGGGGGGGGGGCGAGTACATATACAGAAAATGGTTACATTCTCTTTTATAAAGTTGACACGCGTTATTACATTGTTTAAACAAAAACGCCAACGGCAGGGAATCATTGGATCGTGGCCCCCTTCGCTGGCGCGCTCTAGTTTTACCCGCCCGCTGCTCCGCGAACAGACATTAATGGAATCCGTCCCCTCACAGACATGCTTCCCTACGTCGCACTCGCGAGCGGACATAGTTCGCGAGATGCGAGCGTCTGCTTCGTCGTTCGCCGTCATCAGCACCGCGAGCTGCGCTGACATGGCCAGCGCTACCACAGGTCGCCTTTGCCCGCGGTGCTGGGCGAACGGGCGACTTCGCCACGCTGGTCGCCCGGCCCAGCGATTGCCGCGAGCCGTCGGGCGATGCGCGCGGCGCTGATGCCGCGGCTGGCCGCGGCGCCGCCCCCGCTGGAGTCGGGCCGTTCGCCGCCCCGGGGGTCGGCTCTCCGCGCGGGGCCACCATCGCAGGGGCCCCCAATCGAAAGGGCCGCTGAACGGCCGATGTGCAAATGGCGAGGACGTCGGCGGCAGCGATGGCGCCGCTGAAACCGGGGCGCCGACGAAGAGAGCGCGCCTGCGCCAGCGGCGCCGGCGGCACATCGCGCGCGAGGCGCTCCTCGCAGTCGCGCCCGCGGCATTCGACATGCACCACGTCGACTCGGGGCCCCGCGGGCTGCCTCGGCGGCCTGGGCCCGCGCCGCCGGTCCTGAACTCCCCTTTTCCCCTTACCCCTGCCCTCCCCGAAGCCAGCGAAAGTTTCCCGGCGGTCGTTCTCGGACACGTCTGCCAGGAATGCGCGGCGGCCCTCGCCGCTGCCGCTGCCCTTGTTTTTGATGACCCTCTGGGCACGGCGCGCGGGCTCGCGGCCGCTGGGACTGCGCCATCGTGACTCGGCGCGTTCGCAGGCCCAGAAGGTCTGCGCCACGTCGTTCCAGTGGAACGCCGCGCAAATCGGGATCGCCGGCAGCGGGCTCTCGGTTGAATGAGCTGACGGCGCCTGAGGCGGCGCCTGAGTCGACGCCCGCCGCTGGACGCGCCACCTGCACTGAAGGCGCCGTGCCGGGGTCGACGGCGGCCACGGCTGCAGGCGGGCTCGGCGCCGCTCCAAGGGCGGCGGGGCCCGTGCCATCCCAGCACGATCCGACCGCAGTGCCATAGGCGCTCTTTGCCCGATCACGCGCGGGCGCGCCCGCGAGGAGCGCGCGGCGCCGGGCCGAGTGAACTGCTGGGGCGAGGTTGCCCGGCAAGCCCTCGATCGTGCGCCCAAGCCGCGGCAGCCGCCCAGTCACGCGCGACTGCTGCTGCGCGTTCGCGGGGCAGGCCATGTTGAAGCGCTGCAAGATCATGGTGAATTGCTTGCTCGACACGCCCACGGCGCGCTGCAAGAGGTAGCTGAGCCCCTCGTAGCCGGTCGCGAGCTGACCGGCCTGCTGCGCCCTGTTGGGGAGGATATCGAACCGTGCGAGGAGGTTGTCGATGCGCTCCTGCGGCAACCAGTCGAAGTTCATCAGAGCCGACGCCGCTCGCGCACGCCCCCCCCCCCCAAAGTTGGCCCCACCCTTCGACCAGACTGTGCATCAGAGAAGTCATAGGCGGCGCTGGGTCGCGGTGAATGCGCCCCCCCCGGATCGGGACAGCGGGCGGCCACTCGTCCACGCACTCGCGCGCCATGCCGGTGAAGTGCGACGAGACGCAGGCCGCTTGGCGGAATCCGCTGGGGTCGGAAATCGCAACTGACCACCGAATCGTGACCTCCCGCGCCCAGCGTCGGAAGGGCACGCGAGTTTGCTACTCGGGCCCACAAGTGCGGAGGCGTCGCACGTTGCCACCACCGCCGCCGCCAGCGTCTACGCATGCGATGCAGCAGGTGGCAGCGACCATGCCCACTCCGATGGCCTTCCATCCGGACTTGAGCCCTGTCCATGCACAGAGGAGGCGCTGGAGTCCTGGAACCCACCAGCGGCGCTGCTCGGATAGAGACCCTCCAAGCCGCCGTGGGTATCTGTCCTGGGTATGCTCTTCCTCATCAGCGCATTGAGCATGACATTATGTCGTGCGGGCGGGGTGCGATCGGCACTCGGGACATCCCAAAACACAGTCATTGGAAGTGCCCGTGGTGCGTCACGTCGTCACTGTACTGGGTACCACCAACTGCACGGTAGTCGAGAGGAGCACCCATCGGGATCCAAGCAGGCCAGATAGCAGGAAGCGCGCCAGTAATTTGAAGGTAACGTTCTGGGACATCGAAGACGAAGAATCCCAGGTTCGTTTTGCGACCGCCTGGAGCGTTGACAACATAGTCGCCAAACCCGCCATTGTCTTCTCGCTCTTCTCCGCCTGAGTTATCCCACCCCCCGCTCTGGCAACGTAGTCACCAGCAGCTCGAGACGCTTCGCCACCATCGGGGACCCCTCGGCTACACTCACAGGCGGATGCAACGGAGGCGTCGCGTCCGTTGCCTCGTGCTCCCGAGAGTTTCAGGGCTCCTGCAACATAGGCACCTGTAGCTCGGGACCCTTCGCTAACACCGTAGAAATGAACGCTATGACAACACAGCGTCTGACGTCGGAGGCGACACTCGCTGGTGGATGGCATCAATGCGTTGGGCCCGCGAGCTGCACAGACGTCGTCTGGCAAAGCTGGGAGTGGGAGCCGAAAGAGGCGGCGCGGGGCCGCGGTCCCTGTAGCCGATGTGTTCGGAGACGTACAGGTGCAGCTCCCCCGCCACGAGGTACGGGTAGAGCAGCACGAACACGATCCAGCATGGTGGTGGGCTGGATGATGGAACACGGAGAGCTCGGCGACCTCGAACACGGGACGGGGAACTTGAAGACAATGTCCTTGAAGATGTTGAATTCAACGGCAGGGAGCTGAAGCCATTGCAGTCGATGCAGGGCGAAAAAAGACAACAATGCGGGCCATGGCGGCACTGGATTACAGAGCCGTAGTTCCGCTACCAACTAAGAATCGTGGCGGCAATGGGCACTCAAGGGAAGCAGGCCCGAAGCGGGAAAGAGGGGCAAACTTATACACTCCTAGGCAGGGGGCGGAGGGAGGGAGGCAGGGAGGGTAGAGATGAGGGGAACCACACCCACCCACCCCTCCTCCGTCACTAGCGGCTCGATGGGGCAGGCATTCCGGACGTTCTGCAGCAGGTTCTTGATGAAATCCTTGGGGGGAGCGATTCCACGCGCTCAGGAAGAGGAGGATGAGCAGGGGGAAAGAAAGAGGTGGAGCACGACGACGTCATCCAAAATCATCCCAAGACTGTTCACTCTTCGATGCCCGCGTGCCATCAGCCATTATCCCAAGCCTTCGACTCCCGCCCGCGTCGTTTATGAACGTACCCCCCTGGGGGGGCTCCCACTCTGCATGCCAGGGCCTGGGAAAACCCCGACTGGGTGTGAGGCAAGCGTGCCGGGCGGGCGAACCCTAACGGACGTCGGGGTGGGCGGCCAGATCCCGACGGGCGGGACGGATGGGCTGGACACTCGAGCAGGCGGGCGGGCTTCCCCGGGCGGACCCTATCGGGCGGGTCCGGCGGGCGGGGCACTGCAACGGGCGGGCTGGGGTCGGGCGAGCAGACCCTGACGGGCGGGTGGGCGGGCGGACCCCAACGAGCGGGGCGGGCGGGCGGGCCCCAATGGGCGGGTCGGTCGGGCGAGCGGGCCCTGACGGGCGGGACGGGCGGGCGGGCCCTAGCGGCGGACGGGACATGAAAGGCGGCGACGAGGAAGTGCCAAGCGGAAGCGCGATCCCACATTTGCAAAAGCACGATGCCCAAGCAAATAACCACAGTGTCCCCAGCGGGAGGGCCATTCTTGAGTAATCCCCCCAGCCCTTTAGGGCTTGAGCGGTTTAGGTCGATTCCTCTTCCCCCTTCGGGGAAGGGTTTACCAGTGTTCTATTAAACTACCCCCCCCCCGGCGACCAGCGGACAACCAGGAACAATGCCGACCACCATGATCACACACACCCCACCACCCCTGTCAAACAAACCATACAAACACACACTCACACACTGTCTTCAAATCCGGAGCATGCGCAGCCAACCCGATGCGGCACCCCACCATCCCTGCAAAAAAAACATACAAAGTACACTTTGGGGCAAAGTCTGGAGTCATGTTCGTGAGGCCCGCGAGCACTTTGTAATGCTTTTTGACAGGGGCGGCGGGAGTGTCAGCATATCTTTTTGACAAGGGCGGCGGGGTCTCAGCATATTGCCTGCTGCGCGCAAGGCCACCATCCCTGTCAAAAAATATCAAGTGCCGCAGGGCCAGCATCCCTGTCAAAAACAATACAAAATACACATTGCTGCTAAATCTGGACCATGCGTGGCCACCACTTGACACACTCTGCACGTGCCCCGAACGTGGCGCACCTGGCGCGGCTGGAGTATGCGGCACACCTGGCGCACGTGGATCACGTGGCGCATCTGGCGCAGCAGGCGTGCCTGGCACGCTCTTGCCCCAGGGGTGCCTGGCGCACGTGGCCCGCCTGGCACGCGTGGCGCACCTCGCCCCGACGTCGCGCACATGAGTTCGCTTTTGGTTCCCAGTAGCTGGCCATCCACAGACGACCGCTGAACATGCTGAGGCTCGGGTGTTCATTATGTGCTGGGAAGGCCGGTGGGAGTGAACTAGACGGCTTGCGATCGAGGAGGGTGCCTCGACCACTGCTCCTTATTAATAATAACCACCTCGACCACCTGACGGTGGGCCTACCCGAGACATGTTACACCCCCAACCATCCCTGCCAAAAACATTACAGAATGCACTTTGCATCCAAATCTGGAGCATGCGCGGGCACCCCACGACCACCTGGCATTGGTTGTTGACAGGGACGACGGAGGTGCCGTCATATTGCTCGCTGCGCGCAGGCCAACCATCCCTAACAAAAACACAACAAAATACACGTTGCCTCTACATCTGGAGCATGCGCGGGCGCCCCGCGGCCACTTTGCACTGGTTTTAAACAGGGACGGCGGGGGTGCCGTCATACTGCTCGCCGCGCGCAACTCAACACCCATGTCCAAAAAAACATGATAAGTCAAGTTGCATCCACAACTGGACCGTGCGCGGGCATCCCGCGACCACTTTGCATGGGTTTTTGAAAGAGACGGCGGGGGTGCCGTCATATTGCTCGCTGCGCGCAGGCCAACCATCCATGTCCAAAACAAAACAGGATGCACTTTGCCTCCACATCTGGAGCATGCGCGGGCGCCCGCGACCACTTTGCATTGGTTTTTGATAGGGGCGGCGGTGGTGCCGGCATGTTGCTTAAACGTGGAGCGCGTGCCGCCTGGCTCGCCTGGGCCTCCAGGGTGCCTGGTGCTCCTGGAACTCGTGGCGCACATAGCATGCGTGGCGCTTCTGAGCAATCTGCTGAGACTGCCTCGGGTGTTATGATGTGTTGGAAGGGCGGGTGGGAGTGAGCGAGACAGCTTGCGAGCGAAGGGGGGGGGGCCTCGACCCCTCCCCCTACCCCCACCCCCTGGATCTGAAGGGGGGGGGAGGGGCGACGCGTTGGAGAGTCCAAGATGGCCTCGGGGTTGGGGAAGCGAACTGGAACTTCCCCTTTTTTGATCGATCACCTCCAAAATGGCCTCAGGATGGCCCCCGAGGCTCCCAAGAGTGCCCAAAGTGGGCCCCAAGAGGCCCCCGGGAGGCCCCCTAGATGCCCCCCAGACGCTCCCAAGAGACCCCTAAGAGGCCTCAAGAGGCCCCCCGAAGCACCCAAGACGTTTCAAGAGGCCCCCGGCCCGCCAAGAGGCTCCCAAGACGCCCCAAGAGGCCTACAAAAAGCCCTCCAGAGACATCCGAAACACTCCCGGAAGCATCCAAGAGGCCTCTGGCAGTTCTGTTCGCCCTCCTCCTCCTCCTCCTCCTCCTCCTCCTCCTCCTCCTCCTCCTCCTCCTCCTTGTCGTCTTCCTCATCCGCCTAATCCTCCTCCACCCTCCTCCCTTCTCGTTCCTCCCTCCTCCACCTCCCCCTGCTCCTCCTCCTCCTCCTCCTCTTCTTCCTCCTCCTTTGGCTCCTCCTCCATCATCCCCCCTTGTAGAAGTATGACCGCTTCCCAGCATTTCTTCCACTGCGTGCTCCCCCGCATGCCTGATCAAAGCAACTCGTCTTTGCGTCGTTTCTGGACGGGCTGGTGTGATTACACGAAGCGTCTAGAATGTGTAAGAATGTCCCCAGCGAGAGGCCAACTCGTGAACGAATTGAAAAGAAGTCCAAGGCGGCATCACGATTCTTGAAAGGCGAAAGCGCAGTACCTGAGTAACTTGTGCGGATATCCCATGCGAGAGCGCGACTCTTGAGCAAATTGCACCGAAGTGACGAGCGACAGCGCGATTCCTGAACAGCGCAGTACCTGAGTAAAGTGTGCGGATGTCCCATGCGAGAGCGCGACCCTTGAGCAAATTGTACCGAAGTGTCGAACGACAGAGCGACTCCTGAACAAAGCGTGAGAAGTCTCAGGAAGGATCGATCGCTTTTGCACTTCGGGAGTCCAAGAGCACAATTTGGCCGGGGGCACTGCAATCGAGGGAAACAGTGCGCACCGGGCAGGAAGGATCAACCAGAATTCGGCTATACGCAAGAGTGACCCTGGGTAAGAGTGACCTTTGGTGCGCGACTTCTTGGGGGGCCGCGGGGGGACCAAACCTGGGCGCGCAAGCAGCTGCTGCTGCTTCGTTTTCAGCCATCTGGAGACCCATCTGTGCCCGCACCAAAGGTCACTCCGGCGAAAGGTCACTCTTACGTCTAGTCGAAGAATGGCCCTTCAGAAATGCAGGTTCGGCGAGAACGACGAGGACGACGAGGGCGAGGACGAGGAGGGAGAAGGAGCAGGCAGGAGGAGGAGCACGGGCCAAGCGGAGGAAGCGGAGAACGAGTGCGAGCGGGGATGAGGAAAGGGAAACGGAGGAGGAGGAGGAGGAGGAGGAGCAGGAGCAGAGAGGAGGAGCAGGGGCCAGGAGAAGGAG